AATTAGTGCTGCCATGGTCCAGTTCTACAAAATTGTCAACCCAGAACTGGACCATTGAGAACGGTTCTCAATGGTCTGGTTTGGTTTTTTTTCTGGTCTGAATGTGAACCAAACCATAAATTTTTCAAGCATAACTGCGGATGATTGGGCACTTGATGATTTAATTAGTGAAGGAGAACACTCATGCAAGAAAGAGGCTGGCAGGTGCAGGAGAGTTGTAGCAGGCACGAGAAGGTAGTAGGAGGCATTCAGGAGGGTGCAGCAGACTGTCCACTGAATGCCATTAATGCAACAAAACAGCAGAAGAAACAAATAGATGTAACTTACAAGTTGCAAGTAGGCAGCATGAGGTGGGTACAGCCTGAGATTTCGAGAAGCTTCTTGATAATCCTTGAAGTGTTTGGATACACTACAGTGCACATATGCAGCAGACTCAAAATGCGTGCAAGTGAAAGTCATCAAAATGTCATCCGGATGAACAGACAGACTTACCCCATCAAAAACTACAACAACTATGACAGATCAATAGAGGGGACCACATTTCAGACATGTGCACCTCTTCGTTCCGAAAGGATATGCGATTCTGAGTGACTCATGAGCAGAATGTGGTCACAGCAGAATGTAGTCACAGGCAGATCAGGCTCATGAAAGCCTGTGCAATCATCTCTTCTATCACTTTTAGACATCTCATCCTCTCAGCTACTGTGGACGCTGACAGCAGACTTTCCAATGCCAGCCATGCCATGCAGCCAAATGAGCTGATTCTTCTGTGTTGTCCAGGAATCTGTGGATGTATTCAAGGAGATCCACCCAGGTCCTTTGCAGACATTTTGGGTGGGTGGTCAAAACCAGAGGAGAGTTGAGTTGGACTCACACACACAGACAAGCAGAGACAAGTGCAGAGGTGGGGTCCAAGACATCCAGCATTTGCCTATTGGACATTATCTACAGCAGCAGGGAAGTCAAGTGTCGTCAACAGGCGGCTATACTATTAAGTATTGTGGTGATCTGACTGCAGTCCAGCAAGCACAGGTTGCCCATTGGATATTTGATAACATCAAAGAGGTGCAAGAGACTGTGGTGCAATGGTTAGGCTGCACGGCATTTGCTTACGCACTCAGTATTATGCTCACATGCAACAAGCGCAGCATATTGAAGGCAGATCCCGACTACCTCAGAGATGGAACTGCAGACGCGCAGGAAGAATTCATTCTTGAAGCCACATGGTCAGCCCTTTTAAACCAGACTGGCAAAAGCACAGATGTGATCCACATGGATGTTGACCTCAAATGTCTGTCAGTCTTTGAACAGTGCCTGTTCAAGAAGTTGGCTCAGTCAGGCTCTGCAGGAAACTATCAGTGGGGCCTGGATGCTGGGAACCATCAAGATGGTTGGGACCCATATGCTGGGTTCCCATCTCACTGGAACCACGAGGATCATAATGAAGGAGATCCTGGTTATGATGAAGACGAGCTTGAGGTACTATGCTTTCTGACTTTTGAAACGGTCCTAGTAAATGATCAACTTAGCGCAGGCCAGGTTTCAGTGACAGCAACAATATATGTCATGACCTCAGAAGAGACATGTAACAAAATCCCATGGAGGACCAAGAAAGTGAAGAAAGGTAGCACTAACTGCGTCTTGAGATGATGCCTGTGACTGTGTAGTCACTCGCTTAGAAGAAAGAAAAATAGCATTGTATACGCAGGAATAAGACTACAATGCAATATGAAAGATTGTTTGGCGACAAGGAAGATAGTTGTTAAAAACGATATATGGGAGAACTGACTTGCAGACCAGAAGTACTTGTGATGATACTGTCTGACCATGACTTTGTGAGCATGGTTATAAAAATAAGGAGTGGGCACATTCTCGACTTGGCCATGGTTCATTTTCAGGACAAGGATTGGGAGGTTCCAGTGACTAGCAGTAAGTGTAATTGATGCGCACTCACTATTTGGGAGCAGCGCAGCAGTGGTCATGGCAGTTGCCGCAGCAGTTACAGCAGTGGCGCATGATGCCCCATACCATCAGTTTGGGGTTCGGAACGGTTCAGGATGTGTCCGAACCAAAGTCGAACCATTTGCCCAATGCCAGAACTGAGAACCATACTATGGTCTGGTTCTGGCTGACACCTGGACCGTGGACCAAACGACAGGGGAACCAGACCAAAAGTCCAGTTCAAACCATGGTTCAGGATCGGACCACAGCAGTACTACCCACAATCCATTGACCATGCTCAACACCATCAACCTCCAGTAAAATGTCACAGCTCGTTCCAAGCATGCAAGTTTTTGAAGATCATGAAGGAGATGTAAATGTGGTTGCAGTTTCCCTGATAAGTGACAACTCCAACAAGTGATTACCTTTGGGACTTGAAGACAGGTGTTATATTGAAGAAGATGGAGGGGCATCACACACCACACAGCCTGCACTGAAATATCTCTCTTTGCTGAAGCTGGCCTGGGTCAAATGTATTAGTATAATATGAGTAGAGTCTATTTACATAATTACAATGTCAATTACACCAGTCAGAGTTTAAATTGCATACAAGTCCTATGATAATCACATGACTTACCCCCAAATGACATGCCCCAATCTTCCCCTTAACCCTGTACCTTCCTTTACCTTCAACCATCATGGCACATCAGAAGCATTCCCCAAGACTCTTAACCCACTTGCAAGTGTTCTACTAAGCAGAAGAAACAATGTTCATCAAAGTCCAATGATGAGAAACAAAAGTAAATTCTTACATATCCATCTTGAGTCCTTGCTTCTCTGCTGCACTGTTGATAGGCTGGAATTCAGAAATCAGCAAATTCATCTGAAAGGTGAGTATATGCGCATATATGTGCGTGTTGAAACCTTCTAATGTTCATTTTGGATGGAGTCTGCTATCTTGTGACTATGCTGCTTTGAATCTTGGTATTCTACCCTGAGGCAATATATGAGTGTAGGGTTAGTGGGCTCTGAGGGCCTAGATTCTTGCATGCATCTGCATGCAATGAAAGTAAGTCCAGTGGAGAAGCTGGCCATGAGTAGAGGGCATCCAAAAATGCTTCTGCACTGTCTTCTCAAGTTTACTCACACAGGGAGTTTGCTGTTGTAAACTCTCATTGGGTTTCTCGCCCATCTGGGCAGGAAACCTGATAATGGGAGGGAACTATCTGCTCACTCACCTTGATGTGGAGTGGGCTGCCCTGCATATTGTTTTTTTTTACCTTCATCCCTCCCATTACTCTCACCTTCACTCACATGGATGCCCACATTTTTTTACTTATGTGGATGTCCCAGGTACTTCTGCCCATGTGGATGCCTGTACTTTGCTCACACAGATTCCTGCAACACTGCTCACATGAACACCTGCAAGCTGCTACCTGTTCTTTCCAATGTCACTTTCTTCATTGCCTTGAAGCATCACTCTGCAGCTCCTACAATTTGAGATCTGAGATTCACTTTGCTGCATCGCTCTCACTCCTAGTACCATGAGAATCGCAGCTCACCTCGGCTCTCTCTTACACAGGTTTGGGCTGCTATCAGGGCTGGGTTGCCCCTTTGGGGCTTCCATTGAAAACTATTTGGTTCAATAAAGTAAATATTCCCTTTGTTCTCGCCACCAGTGACCACTACTAAGACTGCTGCATGATAGAAAACAAAAAGTCAAGCTGACAAAGGTGTGGTGCTGCCCCTCGGTGCACATCCTGCCAAGAAGAAATAGAAGAAATAACTGACAGTCTTGCATCCAGAACTCTCATTTGTAATTTTTCTGCTGCTCTGTTGTTTCCATCATTCTCACTCTGCATACCTCATTGTTGACTTACAATACCTTCCTTGCACTCTAATAACTTGTACTAGCTAGAAGAGAATTAAATATTGTGTTAAATCTGAATGAGACAAAAATGTTTGAATAATCTGAGCATTACAAAAATATATAAATTATGGTGATGATGTCAACCTTGATTGACATCACTAGCATTCATAGGGATTGTCAGACAGGGCCAGAATTTGGCTGATATATCTGACATGTGTGACACCCCAGCCATTGTCAGATACCATCATGTCCAGCCATGTATGAGTTGAGCAATTTTGGTGATGCTGTATTGCCATCACCAAAATTTCCCATTCCAGCAATGGTACACTACTGAGGTTACATCAGCCCTTAGAAGGCCTCCAAGGGATGGCAGGTGTGTCAGGTCACAGGGTCTGCTTATCTGGTCATACCTAGGTTCATTTTTTCCGCTAATGTGCTGCTCAACTGCTGATCATTCCTCAGCTGCTAGCCATGTATCATGCTGATATAGTACTGCTAAGCCATTTTTCATGGTTCTACCTGGTTATCACACTGATATGTCATGCTAAACAGATGTCAATTTGCTATCATATTACATGGCACATCAGGAAAAAACCAATATTGACAAAGACACACTGACAGCTATATAGGCACATGTAGGCACTGTAGCACTATGTAGGCACTGTTTAGGCTACATAGAGGTATATAGCGCTATATACCCATCAGTCCCTGTAGCTATAATGCATTAAGTCTGCTCACTGCAAGATAAGAGGAATGCATTAACTATGCTCGTTAGCATGTTTATTGATGCATTAAACCATGCTAACTAGCAGACTTCTAGTAAGCCTATAGTCCATGGCTCAGTCACTTAGTACAGTAGTACTACCTCGTAGTTTGGTCAATCATTCAGCTGGGTCTTTGTGAATATTAAAGCTGGTGATTCAGAAGTTTGGTGAATTATTCAGCTGGGTCTTCGGCAACTTAATTCGAACATTCAATGAAAGCCAGTGATTCAGATGGTATAAACATACAAGGTACACTACTACTAGGAACAGTGATCAGGCACAAGAATGTCAGGAATCATGAGGTCTGGAAATGAGTCCTCAGGTGGCGAGTCATTGATGACAAAGCCTCCTGGTCCTTCTGGTGAAAGAAAAGCTGCCCACAGAACATGAAAGTGGTCTGCAAGTTGCCGACAGATGTTAGCTTGTCAGGCAGCATATGCTTGCAAACCTTCAATGTCAGCGGCACACTCCCCAATACACTCCTTTCCCTGTTCTTCCCACCATGCTCTCTGCCAGGCAAAAAATTGCAGCACTCTGCACATCTCTTCCCTCAGCAACTCCACCTCTTCTGACCATCACAGCGCCCTTGCATGACTCTTGCACCACTCAATTTGCACACCTTTTAGCATGTTAGTTTGCAAATTATGGATTACGCCAATTGCTTACCATCATCATCACCTTCATCACCACAGTTGACACCATCCATCATCCAGATCCACAATACTTGGCATCTCCCTTCACCAGTAGCAAACGGATTGACGAGGGGCTTGATGTGATCATCTGCCAGTTCTAGTGCTGCCAAAGTCTGGTTTGGTCAGGTTCATGGCCCTATATCTGCGAACCCCAAACTCGACCATCGGTCAGGTTCAGGCATGGTGGTTGAACCTTGGACCGGTGTCTTACTACTTAAGGGTCTTATGTACAACACGTGTATAGTGACAACACAACTATACAGGATAAGACTTCTTGCCAGTCCTTAAGTACACAGTCTATGACTTTTCTAGTTTTCATGGTAGATAATGTGTGAGTTCTTGGGAGGGTTTGCTGACATGTCCTCTTCTTGTTGTTCCCTGATGGAATACTCGTAGATTCCCTAATGTTCTGATAGTAAGGTCTGTTTAAATCTCGTGGGTCATGTCTCAACCTATGAAAGTCTGTCTCAACTTTGTCGTGTTCTCATGTCTCCCTTCCTGAAAAAGAGAGAGTCTATCTTAAATACGTAAAGCCTAGTACGAAAGCTGTTCTGGTGTTGTATACTCATCCCCTGAAAGGTAGCACACAACAAGTAGTATATAAATAGATTGTTATATAAGCGACCCCTGTAAGGTAGTATACAACTAATCTCTGATACAATGTTTATCTTACTTCAAGGCACTCGTGGCCTGCACTTTAAGTCTTATGGACTCTCACGGTTTGAGAGAAGAGTGAAAGTTGGAAGTTATATTACTCAGTGTAGAATGGGCTCCTTTTATACCTTTTTGGGAGGCCATTTTACTAAGCATGACTCATCACACAGAATTAGTAAGTCACTGGCTTACTAACCATGCCATTTGGCAGTGCTGAATCAGCTGCTTACAAAGTAGTCTACAAATAAAGTTCATAATATTACCAAAGCATGATAAATCATGACAAAGCATGACCAATCATGACCAATCCTTACAAATCAGATTATTGCCTGTTACATGACATGCTTACAAATACATCTGGTGGCTCACTGAAGGATTCTGTGGCTGAATGAGCCTGAAACAAATAGAAACAAATGGAAACAAATGGAAGCCACATGACAAATCATGCAGGATCCTTACAAAGCGGAATATTGCCTATCACATGACATGCTTACTAACACATCTTGGTGGCTCACTGGTGGCTGAATAAACCACAGAAAAGAAATGAAAAGAAAGGGGAAAGATGAAAACTATCATACTGGAAATATAAATACAAGTAAATCTGTCAAAATGGAACCAATCATAATGATACAATAAGGTACACCTTAGTGTACTCTCTGTGGCTACTTCTGTCTATCAATGTCATGGTATGAGTTCCATACCATGCATGACACCGGACACCTTTGAACACGTTCGGAAGGGTTCAGTTCAGGTTCAGAACATGTTCGAACTCTCAAACTGTTCCAAAAAATCTCAAATTTATTAGAAAATGATAACAATTTGTCTAGTATGAATAGCTACTAGAACTCTTCATTGACACTGACATGGTTATCATAAGGAGCGGAAAACTCAGCCTGGGCTGTTGCAGAGATATGGCCTTGATGGTACGCGGTCTTGAGCAACTGAAGAGCCTCAAATGTTGCTGGCTGCAAACAGCCACAATGTGCAGTCCCAGTAATACTGCCACTTGAAAATGTATGCTCAGACGCAACAGCCGATCCCTGAATGGCAAGGTAATCCTTTGCAATGCAGGAGATAGTCGGGTACTGCATAGAATGGTGCTTTATGATCCTATTAGTATTCAAGAAACACAAAGCAAACAATGAGATGTACCCCCCACCAGCTCACTACATTTTGATGTCCTCAAGTGGTGCATCTAGGTAGTCCTCAAGTTCTTGACGAGGCCTTCGTGTGGCTGCATCGTTCATGACACGCAATTTGACAGAGCTGT